ATTTGATTATTTCCTGTCATTTCTTCCTCCTGGGTCAGTCTGATTCTTTTTGTTCTAGAGCTTTCAGGTGTGCTGTTAAGTCACTAGTGTGAGTTTTCTTCACTTTCTTTATGTAAGCACTTAGTGCTATGAACTTTTCTCTTAGCATTACTTTCAAAGTGTCCAATTGGTTTGGGTACGTTGTACCCTCATTTTCATTGAATTCTAGGAAGTCTTTACTTTCTTTATTTTGTCCTTGATCCAGGGGTGGTTCATTCAGCACTGTTCAATCTCCATGAGTTTGTGGGCTTTCTGCAATTAGTGTTGTTGAATTTTAACTTTAAGTCATGGTGAATCAATAAGATACAAGGGGTTATTCCGATTTTTTGCGTCTGTTGAAGTTTGTCTTGTTACAGACCCAATTTTAGAAAAGGTTACATGAGATGCTGAAAAGAAGGTATATTCTTTTGTGTTTGAGTGGAATATCCTGTAGGTGTCTGTTAAGTCCATTTGAGCCATGGCATTCGTAGTTCTCTTATTTATCTGTTGAAATTATTTCTGGTTGACCTGTCCATTGAGGAGAGTGGGGTGTTGAAATCTCCTACAATTAGTGTATAGAGTTTGATGTGCAATTTAATCTTTAGTGATGTTTCTTTTACATATGTGGGTGCTCTTGTATTTGTGGCATAGATGTTCAGAATGGAGATTTCATCCTGGTTGATTGTTCCTGTGATGAGTATGAAGTGTCCTTCTCCATCTCTTTTGATAGATTTAGTTTGAAGTCATTTTATTAGACATTAAGATAGCTATACCCACTTGTTTCTTAGGTCCATTTGATTAAAACATCTTTCCCCAATCCTGTACTCTGAAGTAATATTTGTCTTTGAGGTTAAGGTATGTTTCTTATATTCAGCAGAAGGATGGATCCTGTTTTCATATCCATTTTGTTAGCCTGTGTCTTTTTATAGGTGAATTGAGTCGATTGATATTAAGAGATATCAATACCAGTATTTGTTAATTCTTGTTATTTTTTGGTGGTAGTATTTGTGTGTTTCCCTTCTTTGGGGTTTGCTAGTGTTATCTGCTGCCTGTGATTTTGTGGGTGTAATTAGCTTCCTTGGGTTAGGTTTCCTTCTAATCCTTTCTGTAGGGCTGTATTTGTGGATAGGTATTATTTAAATCTTGTTTTGTCATGAAATATCTTGTTTTCTCCATCAATGATGAATGAAAGCTTTGCTGGGTATAGTAGTCTGGGCTTACATCTGGCGTCTCTTAGTGTCTGCAACAATCTGTCCAGGACCTTCTGGCTTTCATGGTTTCCATCGAGAAGTTGGGTGTAATTCTGATAGGGCTGCCTTTATATGTTACTTGGCCTTTATACTTTGCAGTTCTTAATATTCTTTCTTTATTCTGTGTGTTTTTGCATTGATCTTTATATGGCTAGGGAACATTGTTGGTGCAGTCTGTTTTGTGCTTTGTAAGTTTCTTATCCCTTCATAGGGATATCCTTCTAAAGGTTGGGAATGTTTTCTTCTATGACTTTGTTGAATGTATTTTCTGTGCCTTTGAATTTGTTTCCTCTTTAAACGTCTCCATCAACTTCATAAAGTTACATTTAAAATCTTTTTTTCTGCTTCTTCTGGGCTGGGATGATTAAGTATTCCTGTTGTATGGCCACTGGTTCTGGTCATACATGTTGCTTTTTAGGTTGTTGAATGGATTCTTGCATTGATTCCTACCATCTCTTTCTCCAATTGGTGTCAGCAACATTTTTAACTCTTGGTCCACTCCTTGTTGTCTGTGTCTTTGGGAACTGTTCTTGGTCTGCTCTATACTGTCACTGTCTGTGTCTCAGGGAGCCACTGAGATCTCCTTTGGTCTTCTCTCTTGGTCCACTGTCTTGGTCTACTCTTTTCATTTGCTCTCTTGGTCCACTATGTGCACTCACAGACTGTGCTTCAGAGTTCCTTTCTTGGTCCTCTCTCTTGATCCTCTCTGTGTAGTTGCAGTCTCTGTTTCAGAGTTTCTCAGAGTTCCCGGGGGATAGTAGGGTTTGGAGGCTGAGTGTAACTTGTAGTTTGCAATGTTCAATAGATAGGGTGGAGGTGTTGGAACAGCCTACCTGCAGGAAGCTTCTCTGCTGGCTGGCTGGCTGGCTAGAGAAGCTGAGGCAGGTGGGAAAGAGGCCCATGGTTTTTCCCTGGTTTGGAGGGCTAAGAGAGTGGGGTGTCCCACTGGTTGGGTGGTTATGCATCCCTTGGTCCTCTCTGTATAGCTGCAGCTTGTGTTTCAGAGTTCCTCTGAGGTCACATGGGGATAGAAGGGCTTCCCCCTGGAGAATTTAAATTAGCTAATGTGATATATAAAGAAAGTAGTGATAAGAAAAAACATGAAATCAATTGTAAATCTTTTTTACTACAAATATACATCTATCACTGACATGCTGGGTAATATCTCAAGGCTTATTTTTTTTCTCATCAGAAAAGTGGAAACATCACCAGGACCTTCCTCACTCATTTATGAGTGCACTCAAATCTCATACTCAATATGATGTATATGTCTGACATGCTTTGAAGTTTTAGCAATTTAAAAAACCTTTGAAGCTGGGTGGTGGTGATGTACGCCTTTAAACTCAGCACTCAGGAGGGAGAAGTAGGCAGATTTCTGTGAGTTCAAGACTGGCCTGGTCTATAAGAACTAGTTACAGAACAGCTAGGACTGTTACACAGAAAAAATTCTGTCTCAAAAAAATAAAAAGAGGCATTTTACCTTTCAAATATATTATATACATATTCCATGCATATCTACAAAAAGGAAATTCATGGAGCATATCAAAGTGCCAGAGCTATGAAGTAAAACATGGACAAACGTAGGGTCTCCAGCATTCTAAGTGGAGGGAAAATAGGAAGAGGTAGTTACAGTGGCATAAATAAGGACACAGAAAGACAAGATGTAATTATGTGGAAGACATCAGTCCTCCATATTGAAGGAACACACAATTCAATGGAAAATTTTGAACAACCTTATGTTTCTAATTCCAAAACTAAACAACTACTGGAATTGATTAATATGAACCAGTGTGTGGATAAAATGGGAAATGCTACAAAGCACAGGAAATAAAATAATAAAGATCATCAATCAACAAACACCATGGCTGATTGAATACAGAAGTTCTGGGATGTTCTCACCAACAAGTAGCTGGATCTCCTGTAACTGGTGGAAGAATCAAGATGGCTGTCATGCAGCTCACAACTGAGTGTATTTTCTCCTCCTGGGAATCTGATGCCTCCACCTTCTGCATCCACCTACATTGATGTGTACCTACACACACATAAACAAAACTTTTTAAATGTTTTTAAAGGTGTTTTCATATTATGAAAAACTTCTATAACTGAGCACTGAAAAGGAGAAAGAACAATTAAAGTATGTCTTGATCATTGGGCTGAAAAACACAGTTCAGTTGAATAGTTCGATGCAAATAGGTGTGCTGGGAGACAGGAATAATCTGAACATATGAAAATGTAGGGTCTGTGTTGCTGCTACTAGATTGTATAGCTGATAGTTTGGGGAATAGAAGGTAGGGCATGATTTCCACAGAAGTAGAAAATATGTATGTACATGATTTCAAGACATCTGGATGGTTCACTAGGAGTTCACCAGTAGTTCCACTTTATTAAATTTATGTTCTTCATTATACAGATGGTAAGAGCTTGTGAAGAAAGAAGTGAGTGGTATTAAGATCATTATTAACCAATCTATGTCTGATTCACATTTTACAGGCACAACTGGGGACTGGAAGAATCACCTTACAGTAGCACAAGCTGAGGCCTTTGATAAAGTAGTCCAGGAAAAGATGGCTGGATTTCCTCCAGAGCTGTTCCCATGAAAATAAACTCTAAACACTAGAATCTTATATCTGTACTGAATCTTATATGGATATGTTTATTTGTCTGTCATTATACATGTGAATTACTGGGTGTGATCATAGAATAAGTACCTGTTATTTAATTGTGGATAATTATTTTAAAATACAGTAGTAGTAATAGTAGTAATGGTGGTGGTGGTGGCAGTGGTGGTGGTGATGGTAGAGGTGGTTGTAGTGGTGTTGGTGGTGTGTACACATTTTTGTGTATAGTCCCTACGAAGGCCAAAAAAGTGAATCAATTCCCTGAAGTGAGCTGCAATTACTGTAATATGCTTGCTTTGGGTCCTAGGAAGTTATTTCAAATCATCTACATTTGCAGTACAGTATTCTTTTTTTAATTTATAAAAGTTTATTAATTTATAAAAGTTTCCATTTCTGCCCCTCCTCCCAACACCCTCCCACTCCCCCCCACTCCCTCTCCTCCTCCCTCTCCATCCCTAAGAGCAGTCAGGGTTTCCAGCCCTGTGGGAAGTTCAAGTTCCTCCCCTCTCCCTCCAGGTCCAGGAAGGTGAGCATTCAAGCAGACTGGATCCCAAAAATCCAGTATATGCAGAGGAAACAAGTCCCAGTGTCATTGTCAATGGCTTTTCAGAAAGACCCCGTGCCAGCCACATTCAGAGAATCCGGCCACATTCAGAGAATCTGGTTGGATCACGGACTCGTTCAGTCCCAGTCCAACTGGCCTTGGTGAACTCTCATTAGATCAGTCCCCTTGTATCAGTGGGTGAACGCACTCCTCACAGTCCTGCCTTTCTTGTTCATGTTCTCCCTCCTTCTGTTCCTCATTTAGACCTTGGGGGCTCATTCCAGTGCTCCAATGTGGGTCTCTGTCTCAATCTCCATTCATCAACGGGTGAAGGTTCCCTCTGATCTTGCCTTCTTTGCTCACGTTCTCTTTCCTTCTGCTTCTCGTTTGGACCTACGGAGTTAAGTCCAGTGTTCCAATGTGGGTCTCTGTCTCTATCTCCATCCATCGTCAGATGAAGGTTCTATGGTGATATGCAAAATATTCATCAGTATGGTTATGGGCCAAGGCCGGTTCAGGCACCCTCTCCTCTGTCCAGAGACCAATCTGGGGATCTCTCCTTGGACCTGGGATCCCCTTTATAATCAAGTCTCTTGTAAACCCTAAAATGACTCCCTTAGTTGAGATATATACTTCCCTGCTCCCATATCCACCCTTCCTTAACCTCTAGCTCCAAATCTTAGAATCTTGAGTCATCAAATATATACTTTTCTAGTTACCTGTTTGTTAATACATTTTCATGAAACTCCAGTGCCCTTCATGGAACTCCAGATTAAAAGCAATCTTTGTTAAATTTTAAAAATAAATAACAGTATAGGAAAATGTATTTTTTTTACTCTGTGACATTTGGCCAAAATGGCCACACTAGCTAGTCAGAAGCAAGCCTCCTATAGGAAAGCTGCTCCTCCACCCCTGATCAGATCCTTTAATCTACAAGTCCCACTCTGCCTCCAAACCCAGTTATTCCCACAACCTCAGCAGCTCCCTGAGACACAGACAGTGACTGCACAGACTGGACCAAAGGGTGAGTGACCAGCACCCCAGCTGGACAGCCCAGTCTCTAGGCCCTGGGCTCCTCCCCCACTCATCTCAGCCTCATTAATCCATCAGCAGCAAGCCTCCTGCAGGCAAGCCACCGCACTCATCAAAACTGTTACCTACAAGTCCCACTTCACCCCCAAACTAGTTAGATGAGATGAATCTGGTTTTAATTCCCAAGCAGTAATTTTTCACATATAATTGTAATCATTGCGATTTCATATCTAGACACTGTAAGAAAAGCAGACTAAACTGTTCATCCTAATTCAGCCACTGCTTAGGTGCTTACATGTTGTGAACTTCTAAAAGTAAACACTAGAAAGTAGAAAGAACAATTAATGTATATTTTGATCATTGATAAGAGAAACACACTTGGGTTGGGTATTGTGATGGGAACAAATGTGGAGAGAAGCGGGAAAAATCTGGACATATGAAATGGTAAAGACAGTGCTGTTGCTATTAGATTGGTTGGGAGAGGAGAATGTGGAGCATGTTTTCCACAGAGGTAGAAGTTTGAATTATATAATTTCAAGGCACAAAAATGCTTCTCCAGGGGCTCATTGGTAATTCCACCTTATTAAGTTTGTGGTCCTCATCACACAAATGGTAAGAGCATGTGAAAAAAGTGAGAGCAGTGTTAATAACATCGTCAACCCATCTATGTTTCTGTTTCACATTTTCCAGGCACAACTGGGGACTGGAAGAATCATTTCACAGTAGCCCAAGCTGAATCTTTCAATAAAGTATTCCACAATAAAATGCTGACTTTTCCCTCTAGGACTGTTCCCATGGAAAAAAGTTTTTAAAACTTTTAGGTATCATATGAATACTGGTGTTTATTTTCCTGTCAGTTTACATGTGAATGACTGGGAGTGGTCATAGAATAAATCTTGTTATTTAATTGTGAGACTTTTTTGTAATGATAGCAGTAGTAGTAGTAGTAGTAGTAGGTACTACTAGTAGTAGTAGGTAGTAGTAGTAGTAGTAGTAGTGATAGTAGTAGCAGAAGAAGTAATGTGTCTGTTTGTAGTGCCTTCAGAGGCACAAAAGAGTACATTGGTTTCCATGGAGTTGAAGATACATGTTGTGCTCAGCTTCCTGCTTTGTATCCTTGGAACTGAATTCAGATTCTCTACAAGGGTAGTGCAATGCTCTTGACCTCTGAATCATCTCTCTAGGACCAAATCTTGGAGTCTTAAGTCATCAAATATTTGCTTCTTTTACTACTGGTTTGTTATACATTACCAGCTAACACAAATTAACTTCACAGAATTTCAGTTTAAGAACATTCTTTGTAATATTTTAAACATAAAAAAACTCTAATGGAAAATGTATTATCTAAAGCTGTCAAATTTTTAATGTATAGCATAAAATCTAGATTCATGTAAGATTCCTTTTCATAAAATCATGGGTTTTCTTAGTTGATGCTGTTCTGTCATGAGAAATAGTTTTGTTTTCTTTGTGACATTCAGAGAAAAACAAAACAAATGTTATATATAGACTTTGAAATCTAATACAAATAGCATATGGTATTAGACTTTTATAAGCTCACATCTCTGTATTTTTTGCTTTTATTTCACTTTTTCTTCTTTCTAGTAATTTTAGAAGGTATATAAAATAATGGGTTTCAATATGAAACTTTGATACATACATCACATTATTACAACTTACTCCGTATAGATCCTTTACTGCGTGCTATCCTTTGCCCTCCTGCTTGCCCATATTCTTGCATATTATATAAATAAACTTATATTTAAATTTGTATATGCCGATAAAAGGAATAATACAGTGTTGTAGTAAGGAATCTGCTTGTTTGTCCTGGCCACCCAGAACTAAAATAACCACACAGAAACTGTATTCACTAAAACACTGCTTGGCCCATTAGCTCTAGCTTCTTATTGGCTAACTCTTATATTAATTTAACCCATTTCTTTTAATTTGTATATTGCCACATGGCAGTGGCTTACCAGCAAAGATTCTAACCGGCATCTGTCTTAAGCAGAGGATCCATGGTGTCTCTGAATCCACCCTTTTTTCTCCTGGCATTCAGTCCAGTCCTTCCTGCCTACCTAAGTTCTGCCCTATCAACAGGCCAAGGCAGTTTCTTTATTCATTAATGGGGATCACAGCAGAAAGAGGGGACTCCCACATCACCTCCCTTGTCTGTTTAAATAAGAAGGAATGTTTTAACTTTAACATGGTAAAATTACTTATAAAAAATTATCAAGCAAGAATCACAGTTACAATACTTCTATTTACTTTATCTTTTATCATAACTAAGGAAACTATAACTATCTATCTATTCTTCAACTCCAAGAAAGACTCCAGAAGGATATAATATTATCTAAGTAAACAGGAAGTACATTGTAAGCAACTTCCAAAACTCTAGCATTGACAGAGACATCTCGCTGCCTGGACAGTTACCCAAAGTTCCTCTATACCATTGGAGCATCAATTTTCAGCCCCATTTACAGGCCCATAGTATCCAGCACACTTTTCCATGAAGCAGGAAATTTCAAGGACAGTTCAGTCACTTTCTTATGTATCCTGCAGAATGTCTCACAGACTCTTTCATGAAGCAAGAACCCCAAAGGATCAACTCACCTTTATGCAAGTTCAGCAGTCATTTCTCTGTGGGTTCTGCATGTCCGTTTTTATAGCATACCATGAAGCAGTCAAGGCAAGAGCAGTTTCTTGCTCAACTGGATAACCAACTCCATAAGACCATCATCCTCTTGAAGTAGCTTGGTGCTGCCAAGAGAAGATGCCATAAAAGAGCACTGTCATGAAAAGTTGTAAATTCTTAATCATTTTAAATTCCATATTCTGAAGGTCTCTGAAAGATTTGAAGAATACTTAGGTGAAATATATCTCTATACATTTAGCAAATCTAACATGACTACAAGCTTAACTATTATAGATAATTACCTATTAACCTATGTTTCTTAATTATACATTATATTTTAAATGAACTACACAATTACAGTAGCTTAATCAAGAGCAGAAATATACCTATAACAAAATTGACCTTAAATTTATATCAATAAACCAAGATTCATACCAATGCAAATCTCTATAGCATATCCCTCTTTAAATGTAAAGAAACAATTATACACAATATTTGGAAATATGGGCATAGTTTTTTCCATACTGCTTCCTGCTGATTGGGGTGCTGTTAATCAGGTCTTTCATGGTATATCCTGTGTTCTAGGTTTATCTCAGTCAGCAGTTGGGCAAAGTAATTTTTGAGGGTGCTCACAGAAACCTTTCAGGAGGCTGTGGTCTATCAAACCATATTGCTCTAGAAACAGATTCTCATCTTCTGTAAAAACAAAAGAATCCTTCCTCTCTTCCCTCTCTCCCCTCTGGAGCCACAAGATCTCCCCGGAGCTGCTCCCTTGCACGCTGGGCCTGGGCTGTGGGCTCAGTCCGGCAGGGGCAGTTCCGGTGCTTTGAGAGCCTGCTTGAGGACAGGCAAGCCCTGTCTCAGCTCAATCACATTCCTGGCCAGCAAGAGAGAGTGAACTTCTAGCAGACTTCCATTGGAGGAGGGGTGAGTTTTCTCCTGGCCGAGGGCTTCGGCTAGGAGGAATTCAGTCTTTCCCCGCCTCCCTTGACTTTCTGGTCAGCCTGCAGTGGCAGCTCCTCCCTGCAGAGCTCCCCTGTCACAGCCTTTATTCAGGAACACCTTCCTCTCTTCCCCCCTTCCCTCTAGGGCCACAAGATCTCTCCAGAGCAACTCCCTTGCTCGTTGGGCCTGGGTTGTGAGTGCAGCCCGCTAGTAGGGAGTGCCCATGTTTCAATAGACTGCCTGAGGAAAGGTAGGCCTTCTTTCAGTGAAGTCCCTGCCCAACAAGGGAACCTGACCTGGTACTAGAAGATCCAGTAGAGAGCATTTGAAGGAAGAGATGGGCAGACGCCAAGGCAAGAACTCCTCCAACAATCTAAAAAACAACATGAAAACACCAGAACCCAATGACCCTACAATAGAAGGACTTGAACCTCTTAATTCAGAAGAAGCGCGAAAAAATGCCATTATGAAAGCAATAGAGTCCCTTAAACAGGATATGAATAACTCCCTTAAAGAACTGGATGAGAAGTATAACAAAAAGATTGAAGGAATGAGTAAAGAAATGGATGAAAAATATAAGAAAAAGATCGAAGCAACGAGTAAATCCATGAATGATACACTGGGAAACCAAGAAAAAAACAATCAAACAGGTAATGGAAACAGTTCAAGAATTGAAAACTGAAATGGAGGCAATGAAGAAAACACAAAACGAGGGCCGGCTGGATATGGAAAATCTAGGTAAACGAACAGAGACTACAGAATCAAGCATAACCAATAGGATACAAGAGATGGAAGAACGAATCTCAGAGTCTGAAGATACCGTAGAGAAAATAAATGTTCTGATCAAAGAAAACAGCAAATTCAACAAATTCTCATCACAAAACATTCAAGAAATCTGGGACACAATAAAAAAAACCAAATCTAAGAATAATAGGGATTGAAGAAGGAGAAGAACTGCAGATCAAAGGATCAGAAAATATATTCAACAAAATTATAGAAGAAAACTTTCCCAATCTAAAGAATGATATCCCTATGAAGGTTCAAGAAGCATACAGAACACCGAATAGGCTTGATCAAAAAAAAACATCCCCTCGCCATATAATAATCAAAACACAAAACATACAGATTAAAGAAAGAATATTAAGAGCTGCAAAGGAAAAAGGGCAAGTAACTTATAAAGGTAAACCTATCAGACTTACACCGGACTTCTCTATGGAAACCATGAAAGCCAGAAGGTCCTGGATAGAGGTACTGCAGAAACTAAGAGACCATGGATGCAAGCCCAGACTACTATACCCAGCCAAGCTATCATTCACTATCAATGGAGAAAACAAAATATTCCAGGATAAAAACAAATTTAAACAACTCACAGCCACAAACCCAGCCTTACAGAAAGTAATAGAAGGAAAATCACAACCCAAGGAATCCAACATTGCCAGCACTGCTTACAATAACTCAGACATCTAGTGACCCTTCATGAGCGTAACTCAAAGAAGGGACACATACAAACTCTATTAATCAAACAAACAAAAAATAATAATAACCGGAGTCAACAACCACTGGTCATTAATATCACTTAATATTAATGGACTCAATTCACCTATAAAAAGGGACAGACTAAGAGACTGGATACGAAAACAGGATCCAACATTCTGCTATTTACAAGAAACACACCTCAACCACAAAGACAGACATCTACTCAGAGTAAAGGGTTGGGAAAAGGTTTTTCAAGTAAACAGACCTAAGAAACAAGCAGGTGTGGCCATTCTAATCTCCAACAAAATTGACTTCAAACTAAAATCAATCAGAAGAGAAGGAGATGGACATTTTATACTCATAACAGGAACAATTCATCAGGAGGAAGTCTCAATCCTGAATATCTATGCCCCTAATATAAAGCCTCCTACTTCTGTAAAAGAAACTCTTCTAGAACTCAAGGCAGTCATCAAACCACAACACTAATAGCAGGAGACTTCAACACTCCTCTCTCACCAATGGACAGGTCAATCAGACAGAAACCTAACAGAGAAATAAGAGAATTATTGGAGGTATTGAATCAAATGGACTTAACAGATATCTATAGAACATTCCACCCAAATAGGAAAGAATATACCTTCTTCTCTGCAGCTCATAGAACCTTCTTGAAAATTGATCACATACTTGGTAACAAAGCAAACTTCCACAGATACAAAAAAATATTAGTAACCACCTGTGTCTTGTCAGACCACCATGGATTAAAGTTAGAATTCAAGAGCAGTGCTACCCCCAGGAAGCCAACAAATTCATGGAAGTTGAACTGTCAACTACTGAATCACCCCTGGGTCAAGGAAGAAATAAAGAAAGAAATTAAAGTCATCCTTGAATTTAATGAAAATAAAGACACAACATACTCAAACCTATGGGACACTATGAAAGCAGTGCTAAGAGGAAAGTTCATAGCACTAAGTGCCCAATTAAAGAAAACGGAGAAAGCACACATTGGAGACTTAACAGCACACTTGAAAGCTCTTAAAATAAAAGAAGCTGATTCACCCAGGAGGAGTAGAAGACTGGAAATAATCAAACTGAGGGCTGAAATCAACAAAATAGAAACACAGAAAACAATCCAAAGAATCAATGAATTAAAAAGCTGGTTCTTGGAGAAAATCAAAAAGATCGACAAGCCCCTATCCAAATTAATCAAACGGCAGAGAGAGAACATGCAAATTAATAAGATCAGAAATGAAAAGGGGAACATAACCACAGACAGAGAGGAAATTCAGGGAATCATTAGATCTTACTACGAAAATTTATATGCCACAAAGTTGGAAAATGTAAAAGAAATGGACATTTTTTTAGATAAGTACCATATACCAAAGTAGAACCAAGAACAGGTGAACAATCTAAATAGACCTGTCAGTCATGAAGAATTAGAAGCTGTTATTAAAAATCTCCCTACCAAAAAAAGCCCAGGACCAGATGGTTTCAATGCAGAATTCTA